TTATATATTTTTGTACAATCTAAAGCTACTTTAATGCTAAAGCTAGTTTAGATTGCACAAAAATATATAATGTTAAAGCTACTAATACCCTGTGTCTACGCAAAGCAAGGTTCATAATTATACTACTTAACGTGGATTTGCGACTTACAATTAATAATTATCGAAAATATATTTTGTATTTCGTGCACAATTCTATTAGTACGCATGCGCGCGTGACCGCAGCACATACTCATGTCGCTGCAATTCGTCGAAGTGACAGGTTTCTTAACCTGAAAAGTCGTCAACTTTGACGCTAAATATCTCGTCTCGCGGAGGAGAGCGACAATTTTGTGGAAGGAAAAGTTAAAAAAAAAAGCGTCGAAAGAGCCTAATTGGATCAAAATCGGAGGTGAGGCAGCTATTCTGGATAATTACCGATTATATAAAATTACATATGTTATCAGATCTTTTCATAACTAATTATATATATTTACATCTGACCAATTATACCATTTTTTCTCAAGTAACTATAAAGCTAAAGTAATTTACAATATGGATATAAAAACTTTGTAATTTAGCAATTGTAAATGTGCAATTACTCACGTCGTTTGCAGCGTAATCATTTCACGCATGCAAGGTGTTCTGGTGATGCTGATGGTGATGGCAATAATGATGACAGCATTAAACGGGAAATGTAATTGATCCAATGTCACGTGTTTGCACTATGCTTATTCATTAATAGAATAATGCTCATGCGTCATAGCACGCGTAAGTACGACGGTATTCACACTACGTGTTTTTATAAAAATCATGTTAATTACTTAAATTCTAAGAAATTTCTAAAATTTACTTTATAAACAGGAACAGCAGCATTAACAAAGCAAAGAATAGCAAAAAGTAGCTTCAACAATAATTAATTATAAATAAATAAAAATTGATAAAAATATATATTTATATAAACTAAATAGTTTGTAAAAATGAAATCGTTAAAATTTAGTTACGTCTTTATAATTTGTAATTTAAAATTTGTTTTTTGTAAATTTTTTTATTAATTTATAACATTCTATTAATTACTTAATCCCGAGCAATAAATTAATTTTTATTAATTTATATTTATACAACTATATATAGTCAAAATATGTCATAAATTTAACATATAAGTTTATATACATGTATCTATATATCTCATTCCATCTCATTAGTTCTTATACTTATTTCTGAACGTGGCGATTTTTCTATATAGGATGGGGTAGCTAAAGCGTTCCAAGGTGATTACTTCGAAACTATTGAAGATAACGACTTCGATTTTTTTAAATATTTTTTAAATTTAGAGGTAAATATTATTATTACCAAAATTTTTTCTCAATATCATATTTTGTAAGATATCAAAATCACAAATGTTTTCTTAAATAAAAGTACATATTTTTGTTGATGCGATGTTATAGCTAAAACGAATTCAATGGTATGATATACGACAACATGATCTTCAAATGACCTTCAAATGACTTGTACAGGAAAATCTGCATTAAATTAATTTCATGTTTGCTGCATAGATGGCAATAGATTTAATGACTGAAAGCGCTCCTTATGTTTGTAAACACACACTTCGGCTCATAACGCAACACATTAAATGCTCAGGGATGTAGATAAACAAATGCAGAACGTACGTAGGATATTGGAAAATCACAATTTAATAAATTGTGCAAACATAAAGACATTGATTACTTAAGAAAATGTTCAAAATGATGTCCTAAACTTTTGGAGCCTATATACAAGAGATTGTCAAATTGCGGCCAGAATATCTGGTGTAATTTCAATACAGGCACAGTAAATTCTATTTTTCATACCTTCTGATGTAATTGGAGAAAATGACGACCCGTTCTTTGACAAAATCCGACAGAAATAAATCAAATGAACTTAGATCTGGTGAACGAAAGTTTATTGTACCTCCCTGTCCAATCCACTTTTCAGAAAATATCTCATTTATTACTTACCTTGAGCATCGTGCATAATGTCAAAATATTCTTAAAGCGCTATTGAAGACTAAATTAATTTCCAATTTTTGGAAAATAAACTAAAACTTATTCTGAAATTTTCGAACATTGGCGTACAACTGATTGTTCGTAGAAGATTGGCCCAGTGTAAAAACCCATCTACATAAGACGCAGGATGCAAAACGCAAATTGCAGATCGCAAGAAACAAACGCTAGTTGTAAGATTTATGCGTCTACATAGTGTACATAGATACACAGCGAGCACTCTGTCTGAGCTAATGAAAAAATAGAACATCATAATATTATAATATATCCTGATTGACTGGTCGCCTCGACGCAGGACATGAAAGTTTAGGTTTGCCCAACTCCTGTGCGTCTTGCGTATTGAAGCTTGCGACCTGTAACGACCGGAAATACATCACGCTGCGTCTAATAGCGTTTTCGACTGGCACAAGTTTACTCGCTCCGAAAGCGAATAATGACGTCACAAGTTCCAGCCCGGGGTTACTAGGTTTCACTTTGGGTTACTAGGGCTGCGTTCCGTCAAGCGCATATCCGCACATGTATCTATAGTATACATAACGTATACATACATATAGTATACATAACGTATACTATAGATACATATGCGCATATGCGCTTTACGAAACGCCTAGGAATAATCGAAATATAAAATTATATTTGTATAAAATTTATCACATTACTTATTAATTTATTTTGTAACATAAATAGAGATTTGTAAGGTTATACGTTTATCACTAACTTCATTTTCATTATATTGTTCAACTACTTGCATAAATGTATTTATGCATGGTATGCTTTATAACTAGAACCTAGGTCAAATTAAAACCATTTCGGGTTGAACATATGTTCAATCGGAAATTGGGTTTAATCGCTCTCGGAATGAGTAAACCTGTGCCAGTCGAAAACGCTATAATCTTGCAACCTGCGACCCGCGTTCTGCGTCTTATGTAGATGGGCTTTAAGCAGACTTTCAGTATTTAACCTACATTCTGCATTTGTTCACAATGCTCACCTTGAGCATTTAATGTGTTGTATTATGAGCCAAAGTGTGTGTTTACAAACATGAGGAACGCTTTCAGTCATTAAATCTACTGCCATCTTCGCAAGAAACATGAAATTAATTTAATACAGATTTTCCCGTACAAAATCATTTGAAAGTCTTGTTGTTATATACCGTTGAATTCAACTCAACGTCTCAACGTTAGCTACAACATCACATCAATAAAAATATGTACTTCCATTTAAGAAAATTCGTGACCTTGACATCTTGCAAAACATGATTTAAAAAAAAGTATTGACAATAATTATATTTGCCCCCAAATTAAAAAAAAATTTTTTTTTAAATCAAAGTAACTATCTTCAATAGTTTCGGAATAATCACCTTGTAACACTTTAATTGCCCGACCTTATATACAGGGTGTCCCACCAAAAGTGGTCACCCCCTTTTATCTTTTAAATTAAAAGAGATAGACCATAACAAATATATATCAAATTAAATGGTTTAAACCAGCGCTCGGAATTAGTTGCACATTTCGGGCCGATTCTGGAGACGACGCCTCCTGTCCCCCCACTACCGCCCGGCCGCTGGCGGCCGAGCCGCCGATAGCTCTGGTTCAGGAGCGTTTTATATTAGAAATAGACTAGATTGTTTAGGCATCTCTCAGGAAATCGTAACATTTTCTTCACTACATAAATAATGTTATTTTCATTAATACATAATATATATATTTAATATTAAATGAAAATAAACATTATTATAAAGCAAAGAAATATTACATTTTTTGAGAGGTGCCTCAACAACCGAGCCTATTTCTTATATAAAACGCTCCTGCGTCAGAGCTATCGGCGGCTCGACCGCCAGCGGCCGGGCGGTAGTGGGGGAACAGGAGGCGTTGTCTCTTGAATTGGCCCGAAATGTGCAACTAATTCCGAGCGCTGGTTTAAACTGTACTCTATTGTGAGCATAATAGTTGCTTACAAAAGCTATCCGTGTAAACGGACGGAGAGGTATGCACAATTTTTTTATAATAATGTGGATATTTTGATGTAAGAAAAGTTGTAGCGTTATTTGAAAAGAATACAACAATGTATGATTTAATGTAAATATTTTACATATTATACGAGTTTTATCGGCTTGCAATATTACGGGCGACGTCTATCTTTTCACTTTTGACTTTGCGATATGGCCAACTTCAATAATTAATTAATAATTAATTAATTAATTAAATAATTAACAGTATTACAACTTTAATTGACATACGTCAATCTCTAACGCACGAGTCAGAAGTTGGTTATATATATAATATATAGACGTCGCCCGTAATATTTCAAGCCGATAAAACTCGTATAATGTGTAAAATATTTACATTAAATCATACATTATTGTATTCTTTTCAAACAGCGCTACAGCTTTTCTTACATCAAAATATCCACATTATTATAAAAAAATTGTACATACCTCTCCGTCCGTTAACATATATATATATATATACAGGGTGTCCCATTTAACTTGGGACAACTAAATATTTCGAAAAATAAGCATTGTACGAAAAAATGTCCCAAATAAACTTTTAATATTATCAAGGTGGACGTCTGCCTGTGTAACAATTAACCCGCCTCCATCGCCCCTTGGAGGTGGGGCGGGTGGCAACTTTAAAATTTCAAATGGAAACCCCCATTTTTTATTGCAGATTCGGATTTCTTGGAAAAAAATACGTAAGTTTTGTCCGAGACATTTTTTCGAATCGTGCTAGATGGCGCTGTAATCAGTGAAAATTAGTTTTTGCCATTTTTTCTCACCATCGGGGTGCTTTATTTCGGTGAGTTCCCTCGCCTCTCACTATTCAATTACAATAAATGCTCGAAATGATGACCTTCCATTTCGATGCATTTATTAATTCGAGCTTGGAATGCTTGTACACATGTAGAAAGTGTATCTGGCGTTTTTTGTGCGCAAGCATATCCAATACGTTCCACCATGTTTTCTCGAGTATTTGGTACTTCTGTATACACTTTTTCTTTAAGGTAACATAAAATTATTTCAACTTTCAAAATTATTTTAAAATTATTTCAACTTTCTTTTCTAAAAATAAATAATCCATTATTTATTTGCTGAAATAAAGAACATTTGCAACATGCAACTGCATACTTTTTCTTGAAAGCAACTATGTGTTTTCTTTATACCAATTGATTCGTCTTATTATTTTATGCATAAAAGTATTAAGGTAAGATTCCCAAAAATTGAATGTTTTACAAGATATTTTGTATTTTATGTCAAAATACTGTAATTTACAAGCCTCATAACTCGAAAAGTACTTAATGAAAAATAACTGCATTATAGTGTTTTGAAAAGCTCTTGACACCAGCTATTAGATTTTGGAATCAAAAATAGGGGTTTCTATTTAAAAAACCTAACCTAACCTAACCTTGAAATGACCTTGAAGGTCAAGCTCAAGGTCAAATGAAGGTCAATTGAAGGTCACCGTTGAATTCCTCGTTGAAAATTACTTCAGAAATGACCTTGACCTTTTTCAAAAATACCTTACATGAGAAAATACTTCAGCCGTCCCGGGACTTAATTGACACCCTGTATATATATATATATCCCCGCATATATATATGCGCGCGCGCACAATATAAAATCCGAAATATGTTCTTGTTCATTGAATTTGAGTAAAGATATTCGAATATGTACACATCTATACATCTTGTATTTTATAATATTTATTTATAATTGCCTATTTTAGTTTTAATAAATTTTAATAATAGTTAATTGTTAAGAATACAATTTTTAATAAAAATAATTTTAAAAAATGGTTGTAATAAAAATATATTTGTGAACATTTTTTAATTTAATGTTTTGCTTATCTTGTAATGGCACTCAAAAATGCATTGTATACTATCTTATTATTTTTTAAATGCGCAATTGTTTGCATATGCTTATCAAAAATACCATATTGTAATCTAAATTGTGGTTAGTTGTTATCCGGTATATAGCTATCATAATACGATTTCCAGAGACGATAACTGTATCAAAAAGCCAAGTTTGTACTGAAGCATAACAGCTTTCTTCGTAGCAAATAGTTTCGCTTCTCATTTTGCATCGGATACAGTTTTTCGCAGGCAGACACTTAAAATACGTAACAATTTTCCATACTCGCGCCTATTTTTTTCCTATACATATAAGTGATTGGCTTCTGCTCATCAATCCATGAAGATGGATTCACGATGTAACAAATACGTTAATTATTGCTACTCCAATTACGAACAAGACGGTGTCGCAGTTCTAAAAGTCGGATCGAGTTTCGATCCTGTAAAATTCACGAGTGACAAAACAATCGGCAAAAATAACAATGTCACTTGTTCCATTAAACTCGAACTCAATTCTAACTTGAAAGCGAAGTTATCGAACAAATCGAACAATCCTGTGTCAAAGGAGCACCATAATAAAATACCATATGAAGATAAAGCTATACGAACGACTGAAAATTTCATCGGAAAGTCTTGTTACAACGTAGGCCATTTAGATCTTTTATATCTCCTTTAGATCTTTAAATCATGATTTTCGAGAATAAATTGAAAACTAAATTGACATTGCAACAAATTTTACACAAATTGATATTCGCAGTTAGGAGAAAAAGGATCCGGCTTTAGACCACGAGGAGCAGTGCAAGACTTCAACACGTTGAGACGGGAGTGTCTGGCAACGGGACGATTGTTCGAAGATCCTGAATTTCCGGCCGACGATTCCTCACTGTACTATTCCCGCAGACCGGATAGATACATAGAATGGAAACGACCAATGGTTAGAAATTTTCCATGTTATACATTTAAAGTTTATTAGTTCTCGTTGAGGAATAAATTTCTGAGGTAAATTAAAAATATCGTGATGTACAAATTCAGAGCAAATTAATCTTCTCGCGACGGCAACTATAATGACCATTCACGAAACTGTGTGTGCAAGAATGACAAAAAAATGAAATAAGAAAGAAATAAAATACTTAATGTGTGATTTTGGTAGAAATGTTTTGTTTTACACTTAGAAGTTTTATAAATAAATTTTAGTGAAGAATATGGATTTATTTTGTTTTAATTTTGGATTTAAATTGTTTTATGTAACAAAAACTTTAAGATAAATAAATCATAGATAAGAGTTTTTTTTCTGCAATATGCCTAATTTTTAGAAAGATGATAAATTGCGCGTTTCGAAGCAAATTCAGCATCAATTCGACATGGATTTAGTCCACGGATTTAATACATACACTCGCATAGCATCGTAATAATAGTCAAAATCGCTATTTGTAACATAGTTTTTTACTTTCGTAAAATTTTAATATGACGTACTTTTCATACACAGATCCAATTCAGAAAGAGAAAGAGGGGGAGGGAGAAAGAAAGAAAGAGAGAGAGAGAGAGAGAGAGAGAGAGAGAGAGATTTAACGCACAAAAAAAAACTATAAAAACTTATTTTCGAAAGAACAGAAAAAATGTTTAATTTTGCAAGATGATGTGATAAGTGAAAAAGTTAATAATGATGATAAAAAATTAAATAGAAATGGCTAAAATAAATAAAATTTGTAATAGTGAACATTATGTAACAAATTAAGTATTAATGAGAATTTGTGTACAGAGTTTTGAATAGCCGTTTGTGCTATATGATCTTTTTATGTATCCCTACTTTCCTTGAGAATAATTTACATGTAAATAAGCATATTGTATAAAGTGGTCAACGCTAATTTTGATTATTTACAATGCATTACGCTTTACAGGAAATCGCGGACGATCCTCAACTTTTCGTGGAGGGTTTTTCAAGATTCGATGTCCAGCAAGGAGAGTTAGGAGATTGCTGGCTATTAGCCGCCGTAGCAAATCTGACCATGCATTCGAATTTATTCTTTCAAGTAGTGCCGGAAGACCAGAGTTTTGAGGAAAATTACGCTGGAATCTTCCACTTTAGGTTTAAAATAAATATTTCTTAACATTTTGTGTTTCCAACATAAGAAAATAATATAATTTACATTTTTATTAATTTCCACACAGCATGCATATCCGTGGGACGTTCAGAAGACATCTCGAAGATATTGTATCTCTCAAAGATATCTTCGAGATGTCTTCTGGACGTCTTTTGGATATGCATGCTGTGTGGGTTCTGTTTCAATGTGATTATATGTACTTATATCTATTTTCATTATTCGTAAATCGACGATTAGAATGTCATGAATAAATATTTCGTGTAAGTTTTGCCATGTCCAGAGAATTTACGTACAAAAATGCCTGTTAACTGCAAATTATTATAAATCTGGTTTATTTTTATAAAATATGTATGCGTATCAGGTTCTGGCAATACGGTAGATGGGTCGACGTGGTGATTGATGATCGATTGCCTACTTGCCGCGGTGAATTGGTGTATTTGCATTCAGCGGAAAATAATGAATTCTGGAGTGCTCTTCTGGAAAAAGCATATGCGAAACTTCATGGCTCCTATGAGGCATTAAAGGGCGGCACAACCTGCGAGGCGATGGAAGACTTCACCGGTGGAGTCACAGAAATGTACCAAATGGATCAAACACCGCCGAATTTATTTAATATATTATTAAAAGCTTTCGAGAGGAATTCGTTATTGGGTTGTTCCATTGAGGTGAGCAATTAATTACAATGTTGTTATCTTTAAGCATGAAACCAATTATGTACTTAGCATTAAATAAGTTTGAATACATGATTGAAAGATCTTTCCTTCAAGAGAATTCCATATATACATATACAGGGTGATTCAAAATAACCGTGTGTCCTTAAAGGGGCATATTCCTGAGCGTATTCTGAGACAACTTTTCCTTTGGCAAAAGTTTATGCAGAGCTTAATTTTCAAGTTATAAAAGAAAATAGTTAGCGTATCGTAAGTCGAGAACAATTAACAAGCAGAGGCGTCGCAACTCACTGTTACACGCGAGTGTTTACGCGAATGAGGCGCCTGCTACAATCAACTGACACTCACGATACACAAATACGTATACGCATCTCTCTCTCTCTCTCTCTCTCTCTCTCTCTCT